TAATCAAGTCCATACATTGATAGTTGAATAAATTGAGGAATGAATATTTGTGACAATAAAAAGTAAAACGGCGTTCCATATAAGTTTCTGAACAAAATGTCGAGTGAAAAAAGTAAATTTGGCTACAAGAACGTTGCTGATATTAATTATGCGCGTTTTCAAAAGTTATGTTCAACCTATAAAAATAAAATCACAGATGAACCTTTTCAAAAAACGTTGCTTAAATATGATGCTTCAAATTTGTCACCATGTAAAGTTGAGTTACACCTATCGCTGGGTTACAACCTATCGCTATTTGAAATAAAATTTATTTTCATGTTTGCCGGAAATTAAACCCCAACAAAACTGTCTGGCTTTTCGTAATTAACTTTCTAAATATTTGATTAAGTAGCTGTTGAAATTTCATAATGAATCAAACATTTCATTTTGTTAAAAAAAAATAATTATATGTAAACCGTCTCCAAAGTGTCTGCCATCTTAAATTATTATTAAAAATCAACTAATCTTTCGATTAAAGTTTCTTGGCCTGTGAATCAAACACTTATTCTGGCTTATATTTTTTTACACCTTTCTATTATGCGCAGTACCTGGTGTCCCGGACAGGGTCAGACAAACACAGGTATTCATACTTCTTATTCCATAGATACTAGCCTTACAAAATTTAAGGGTGATTAACGGAAAAACAGACTTCAAACAGATTTTTTAAACAGATCAAACACTTCATGAAACATGCGTCACTGGCTCTCCGACTATAGAATTCAATATTTAATTTCAGCTTATGTTAGACTAATTTTGTACGTATTTAAGAAAGGAGAATTGAAACTTTCTATGTTTTTTACCACTTTTATTCACATTTTCAAACTTATTCATTAAACTAACAATGGTTGATTACATTAACCCTTATATAGCACCCCTGTAGGTAATAATAGAGATACTTGGCTTGATTGAGTACCTGAATTCACAATTTACAATGCAGATGTGATAATTTGAAAACCGGTGAGTAAACTCAATCGATTTGGTCATTTAACAGGTTGCACCCGCAATGTTTATGCTTGTGAATTTCCAAGGATTCTAAATAAATGAATTTGTAACCCTTCCTAGTCTGAAGAACCTTTCATGTTCAGCATACCGTTTTT